GTTTCTGAACTGCGTTTTGGTAGTTCAATTCGTTTTTGAGTCATTTTGATCCTCCGATCTCTCGCACATGTTCTAATTTAGTCATTCAGTAACATTCTAGTTGGTTTTTAGATGATATATAATTGTATCCATATTGACGAGTTTACCCCTCAAATATATAGAAAAAGTTTGACAACATAACACAAGCATGTATGATTGTCCGATAAGAAAACAAAATTGAAAAAGTGAAATTATGGGTACCCCACATTGCATTAGATAAATAATGATTTGAAGTTGGGTGCAATGGAGGGTGGGTTGATGATGGTATTTTTCTGATTAGAAATCCTGGGCTGTGCGTGCTTCTATTGGTAGCTTACCCATTTGGATAAAGATATGTTAAGTAATGTGAGGTATGCGTCAATTGGAATAGGACATATATGTATGTATATATCATGTCACATAATTATTATTATTGCTTTTTATCCAACAAAGGGAAAGGACAAAAATAAAGAGAGTGAGCAAAATAGTAGGTAAAATCGTATACAGGGCCTCCATCATTGCCTATAAAAGATTGCTTTTGGAAGACCAAACGAATGGGTAGGTGTCGAAATATAATTAAATACATAACGGTGCATTATTTTATCCGTGCCAAATTTAAATATAAACAATGCTTCAAACAAAACGCCAATGGAAGCTAACCCGATGTAAAAGAGTCTTAACTTGCAAATTAGTAGTTTAAAGTTTGAATTTTATAACCACGGGGCTCTCTAAGTCTCAAATTGTTGATGAGAAGTCAATTTTATATGGATGCAAAGTTGTAGATACATACCATATGTACAGGTCCCTGCAATGCATAGGCATCGCATATTTCTTTGTCCAAATAAAATAAATTTAATGTTTATTGGTATAATTTTAATTAGATAGGATAAGCTGGTAAAAAAGAGGGCGAGAGATCCGTGGGTGTGACTGATATTTGTCAAGAGTTGGGTCAAGCGGTCATTATGATTGTTTAGACTTCGTGCTCCAAACTTCGAACAAGTTGTTGTATATTGTATGCCCCAGCTATAGGGGTTTCTTAGTCTTTAATGTTCTATTAGTGTTATTGACCTTTCTAGACACTTTTATGACTTGGGTTGGTATGAAATTTTAGCCATATTTGGTTAATCGTCAACCAGTTACGTGTGTTGATTCTGATTACTGATGTGAGTGATATACATTATAAACTTCACATGAATTAACGATCAAGATCCACGTCACGCGTGCTTGCTCGATTGACCTTAACAACACTTAATATATCCAAAATAAACAAATTTTTAGGGGTTGGGTAGGGTAAACATTTGCATATGCCAAGCATGTATTTGAGCTTCACAAGCAAAATATTCAAAGAGGAACAATTAATGGTAACCTGTCAAGAGGGTGTGGCCAGGCTGGTTTGGTGGCTTGGCTCCAAAGACATTGATCACACAAACTTTTTGAAGGTCAAAAGTATATGCAGTTGGGGTCAGATCGTACATGGTTTTGGTAGAGTTGTAAAAGTTTCTTTCTGTGGAAATACTCGGGGAAAGATTTTGAATGCTTTGTGTATTCCAGCATATGCCCCTTGACAGTCTTTTTGTAAGGTAGAAAAGGACATAGTCTACCATTATAATTATTAATGGTCAAGTGAATTGTAGGAATGCAAGTTGCACTAGCCGTACATTATCATAATAATGTGGGGATATAATTTTGGTACAAAATAGATTTTTGATAGATCCTCTCTACCAATTTCTTGCAAATTCAGGAGTATTATGATAATTTGGTAACAATTCACCCGACTTGGAATGAGATATGATTGCATTCCTTTAATTTTCATAAGAATGTGCATTCTAGTACTCTATTATGTTCGAGATAAGAATGATGTTGTTTGCCTGAAAGGAGACTCATTCCTACAAATCACAGTTTGATATGTGTGCAAAAATAATTCATAAAAAATACAAAAATAAAAACTTCTACACGTATGAAATCTAACCATGTTATATTGCTATTAGCATGAATGTATGAGTTCGTATTTTCGGAATAAGAATGCTTACTATCATTCGGTGTGGGAACCAAACATAGGAATTACTTCATTTCCTATCATTTAATTCCACCCAACCATGCGTCACCAACAATCTCTTAAAAGATCGACCTAGGACTGAAAATTTTGGCACTCGTTATTGAGCCCACTGAAAGCACAGGAATTGAACAAGAAAACTTGTTGCGTGAAGCACAGGGCCTGGTCCAGCTTTTGGTTACAAGTTTCAATTTCAAACCCATATAGCTAGGCCTGGTCAGATTTCATGGGTTGAGCCTCACATTTTGCATATTTTGATTTTGGGCTTAATGAATGGAGCCCAAGGATTCTGCTTATTGTAAAGTTGATGCTGGGCTATAACTATTGTTAATGATTTCAAGATCCAATTCAATCTGATTTAATATTGGGTTAAAACTATTGTGGGTAAAATACTCAAATAGTCCTTAAATTTGTACCAGATTTACATTTTGGTCCATAAATTAAATTATTTGTTCAAATGGTCCACCAACGCTTTATTAATCGGTGCTTTGGTCATACCGTTACATTTTCTGTTAAATTTAGTCAAGTGAGCAGCACATGCCACATTTGTGGGGGTAAATAAGACTTCTGACCTATGTATCACCACTTTATCATATATGTATCACTTATATATCACCACTTTATCACCTATGTATCACCACTTTATCATTTATTTGGGGATCATAGGACGGTTATGGATGGTTTTACCCTTACATTTGACGGTAACATTCACATAATGTAATGGTAGGATCAATGGAGCGATTAATATAAAATTGATGGACCATTTGAACGAATAATTGAATTGAGGGACCAAAATGTAAATCGGGTATAAGTTTGAGGACCATGTAAGTAATTTACCCAAACTATTGTTAATGATTTCAAGATCCAATTCAATTTGATTAAATTAACTAATCCAATTCAATTCGATTTTGATGATTTAGCGGTCTAAATTGGATTTCCAAAATTTCTAAATTGAGGTAATTAAATCGGATGACTAACTTGTTTGTGATAATCCAATCAATTTAGTTGGTTTCTTGGCAAAAAAAAGTTCTTTTTCCTTGTAGCATTTTTTATTTTTTATTATTTTACATGTACATCCACTAAACATGTGATCGCAATATGAGTGGTAGGTAGGGACGATGAATATTTGTGTAGCTTCCAAGTGGAGTTTGTGTGGAGAGGGTTAGGTTAGGTTAGGCTTCTCAGGTAACAGATGATATGCAGACGGGTTGAAAACAAATGATTCAGTCTATTATTACAAGTTCGTTCCCTTTCGCCAAAACAATAATGATTACATTATCTTGTCACCTTTCATTCACCCCTATATAATCAACAATTCCAATCATACAAAATTTTAAAAATCTGATATTCTTCACAATTATTATTGTTCACCACTAAACCCTAGCTATATATGTGCGTGCCTCACGTGTTCACAAGCATATACAATCCTAGTTGCTACAAACCTACATGATTTTGAGCATGCATTCATACGAATTTTGTTTCTTATATTATGTGTTTGTTACATCAATTATTAATCGACAACTGTTATATTATACGTTCAACTCATATAATAAAGAAAATATTACTCGTTCCTAATGAGTTGATCATCAAATAAGATTTTCTTGAGTTATTTTTAATGTGAATGCATGCTATAGTACTTGTGCCTCAAAACACCACTAGTTTTCACATCAATGGGAAGCACTCAACAATGATCAAAATGAACAATAACTTCGTGAAACACACCCTCTCATGGATTCTAGTAATGTGGTGTCAGTAGGGTTCTTGAAGCTGTTGATTGTGGAGGGGTGAGTCACAAAGCATAATAATATAGAAAGTGTGTAGTGGGGGAAAAACGCTCCATGAATAAATTATAGAAATGAGACCTTTCCTTTGAGATGTTAGTCGTTGACTCCAAGAGACCACTTATCCACACGTAGAGGAAGATATTTTTCTCACTATTACCCAAAAACCTAAAAAGGGTAAGAACAGTCGCAAAAAGAGGTTTATATATGGTTTAGCTTTCATGTCCCAAAGTGGAAAATTGACGTACTACCATTTTCATATGCAATACAGTATAATTAAATCTTAACAAGCATTACAAGTACAAAATGCCTACGATTTATGGTTTAAGTAGTTCAAAGTAATTTGTCATACGGTCGAAATTTTGTGTTTTACTTTTTGTCTTTTAAAGTAGCTTGTAAGAGTAAATAACCATCATTAACAAAAACAAGCAAAAGTAAATGTCCATTTCATTTGGGACGGTCATCATGAGCAAGTGTCGAAAGTGTGGGAAAATAACAGTTAATGAAGACTATTGATTACCAAAGTTCAACATTATCTTCTATAAAATGTCGGATATACAACCCATTCCTTTCATACTTTTCTTATTAAATTTGCATGTCATTTTCACATGGGGATTTTCTACACCACTTTTCTTTTAAAGTACAAAGATGCAGCTTCATCATGAGGACTGTGGTAAATGTGAAAAATGGGTACTTAAACATATCATGGGGCTGGAAATTAAAATATGCATCTTGCTATGATGCCATGTTTCCAGGAAGTTAGCAGACATACGTTTCTATGGTCTTAAACAAAATCATCCACAAAGGAGCTTAATTATCCGGAAGTTCTGGTACTAATTATTGATTAAGTTACTTTTAACTATTCCTTAATCTACTTGTATTGTTAATCCTAGTATTTCCTAAACACCGTACTTAGTTTTTGAACTTGATTTGATTCAAAATCGACTAGGAATTTTGGAACAAGCACTATAAGGTGTGTGTGTGTGTGTGTTACACGATCCCTTATGTACTGTACTTCTTTCTAATCAACTCATTTTCTTCATCCATAAAAACCCACTTCATATTTTGAAACATCAATCATCTCTCTCTCTCTCTCTCTCTCTCTCTCTCTCTGATATTCTAAATACTGTTTCTGTTACCTTGAAGCAATGTTGCAAAGAAGTAGGACTCTTCCAAGCAGAATCCACCATGGAGCTGTGAGAGCCTCTCTCTCAGTTCTTTATTTCTTTATTTATTCTTTAGAGGTTAGAATAATATTTCTTTCTCTTGGTGTATTTAATCATTTGCATTTCAATTTCAGGTGGAAGAGAGGCATGACATCAGGCACTACTTGCAAGTGGAAGTCCAACCCAAAGTCACTGAGTCTGAAGCCATAAACCCTCAGTCCAGCTATTCCAAATGCTTTGATGATGATGGTCGCCTGAAGAGAACAGGTAGCTACACTTACCCAATTTAGCATTGAGGTTTTACCTTCAAGAACCCATCTTTGAATAATTTGCTTTACCACTTTCCTTTTCAAGGAAAAACAATCATGTTGTAATGTTTTTTCTTCAAAACCATGCTTCATTTTCAGCTACATGGAACTCAATTAATAAACTTAACTTTGAACTTAAAAATCCATGTTGAATTTCAGGCAAAACTTTCATTATTATATATATTATATTTCCTGATTTGGGTCAATAAAGTGATAATTTGCATGCATGGTCTCAGTAGATTCAGTTGTATAAAATATATATGCATAAGATCCTTTCCAAAAAGCAGAGTTTTTTTTCTTCTGCAGGACCAACTTATGAGTTTATGATAAGTTGATATCAATTATCAAGTAATTAGTACCTTAATCATAGTTCAAGAATCACAAGGTGTTGCTGGTGCAGGAACTTTTTGGACTTCAGCGTCACATATTATCACAGCAGTTATAGGATCTGGTGTCCTTTCCTTAGCATGGGCAATAGCTCAGCTTGGTTGGGTTGCAGGACCATCTGTCCTGCTGCTTTTTGCCCTTGTCAATCTCTACACTTCCAATCTCCTAGCAATGTGCTACCGGTCCGGTGACCCTGTCACAGGACAGAGAAATTATACCTACATGGATGCTATCAAGGCCAACTTAGGTAAGGGATTGTCTTTACTCGTTAGCTACCTTTCAACTATGGAAATGATTGGTTTTGGTTGTGATGATGCCAATTTGGAGTTGCAGGAGGAAGAAAGGTCATGTTGTGTGGGTTGGTCCAGTACTTTAATCTATTTGGTGTAGCAATTGGCTACACCATTGCCTCATCTGTCAGCATGATGTGAGTTGCCTGACTAAACTAAATTCTTGTGTTCTGTTTGAACATAGAATATACTTACACGCAGATGAACTGTAATTTATTAGCATATGATTTGTGTATTAGGGCAATAAAGAGATCAAACTGTTACCATAAAAGTGGAGGGAAAGATCCATGCCACATGTCAAGCAATGGGTACATGATAACATTTGGAATCATAGAGGTGATATTTTCTCAGATCCCAGATTTTAATCAAGTATGGTGGCTCTCAATAGTAGCTGCCATTATGTCCTTCACATACTCCTCTGTTGGCCTTGGACTTGGCATTGGCAAAGTTGTAGGTACAACTAATATTCTTATTACATACTTGAAATCTGTTATATGCAAACTTCAGCTATGAAAGTGAGACAAATTTTTTTTTGTAAAGTCTGAAAGTTGATGAACTTCATGATATCCTTTTTTTTAATTGTATATATATGAACAGCTGCAATTTTTATTATATTTTTTCAGGAAATGGGGGATTTAAAGGAAGCCTATTGGGTATCAGCATAGGGACAGTGACCCATGCAGGAACAGTTACTCCTACACAAAAGATGTGGAGGAGCATGCAAGCTCTTGGAGCTATTGCCTTTGCTTACTCTTATTCTTTGGTTCTCATTGAAATTCAGGTACTTCTGCAATATATTTAGCAAATAAAACAACTATATTATCCTCTTCTTTTTTTAATTGTAGAATCTGATTGTTAATGCTAGCAAAATTGATGTGCTCTGCAGGATACAATAAGATCTCCTCCTGCAGAACATAAGACCATGAAGAAGGCAACTGTATTCAGCATAGCTCTGACCACAGTGTTCTATCTACTCTGTGGTTGCTTTGGGTATGCAGCCTTTGGTGACCTGTCCCCAGGCAACCTCTTGACTGGCTTTGGATTCTACAACCCTTACTGGCTACTAGATATTGCCAATGTTGCTATTGTTGTCCACCTTGTTGGTGCATTTCAGGTATGCCTCCGAGCCGCTTGTTGAGTTTAGAGCAATACAATTAATAGTAAAACCCGTCTTGCAATCTAAATTGAATATTTTATAATTTCTCAGCATTCGTTAAGTAGGAATAAAAAAAAACTCATATTATACTGAAAATACCGAAATACTCCAACTTATACATCCAATTGCTAAAATCTTAACAATCTCGACTCTACAATTGTCACCGGTCTCTGTTGTCTTTGATTCTTTCCGGTATCTCAAATTTAAGTAATGTTGTTTCAGTCCTTTCAATTTTAATTGAGTTATAAGCTTGATATACATTGTTGGCCCATTCCCTGACAACTTACGCTTTTGAGACTCATTGTTTTCTAACACGAATTACTTTGCAAAATTTATAGAGAAATGTTACTTTTCTAAGTACCCACATCAAGTTGAGTCCTTTGCAAGATCCCCTCGTTTATTAAAAGGAATATTTGTCTATTTCAAAGTTCTAAAGCAGTGAACCCTGCAGGTCTACTGCCAGCCATTATTTGCATTTGTGGAGAAATGGAGCGCACAGAGGTGGCCAAAGAGTGACTTTGTAACAGCAGAATATGACATACCAATCCCCTTCTATGGCGTCTACCAACTCAACCTGTTTCGCTTAGTATGGAGGACAATATTTGTCATGATAACAACCCTCATATCCATGCTGCTGCCTTTCTTCAATGATGTGGTTGGAATTCTTGGAGCCTTTGGGTTCTGGCCATTGACAGTTTACTTCCCAGTTGAGATGTACATTGCTCAACAGAAGATTGGGAAATGGAGCAGCAGATGGGTTGGGCTTAAGATGCTTAGCATCAGTTGTCTCCTTGTCACCATAGCTGCTGCAGTCGGTTCTGTGGCTGGTGTGGTTCTGGATCTCAAGACTTATAAACCTTTTAAAACTAGCTATTGAAGCCTGAAGAAGATGCTCATGAAATGGAAGGCTTTACAGATTAGGAATTTGATGAAAGCATGTGTATATCTAGTGCCTGCTGTGTATGAGTGAGAGAGGGTTTAAAAACAAGAAAAAGAAAACATTGCAAGGAGTTACAATAAGGAATAAGGATGTCTTCTTTTACTATTTATTGTTGTATAATCTTATGCGCTGCTCGTGAAATGCATGCCAACTTGGCTGCAGAAGCAGACAACTTGTAATTGCCTGAAGCACAACTTTGGCATCTTAATCGATAGCAACATTATAAAGATTCCACAGCAACATGATAATAAGAAAACAAAACTCAGTGCCTACTTTTGAAACAAAGTGGTTTTCATGATATATATATATATATATATATATATATTTATATATGAAGATCATGGACATGACGATGAACCCATGTGGTTAAAAATCTAACTGTGGTGGCCTCTTGTCACAATCGGTCACATGCCTATATGTACATTTACATTTTTGGTGCAGACACCCCATCGTTTTCAGATCATGGCAAAATGGACAGAATAAAATTTGAACAATCCCTTAATTTTCAAATAACGGATAAGTGCAATCGCAAACAGCAACCAAAAGAGGCCAGCTAAAGGAGCAACCCACCACCCCAAATATCCATCACTTAGTTTGAGACTTCAGCTTGGAGGACTTTGATTCAGCAGCAGCTTTAACAAGGGTTGTAGGCTTGAGCACACTCTTCGGGTTTAAAGCCCTTCTCACCTTGAACACAGCCCAAGCCGTCCCTATAGCATGCCCGGCAGCATCAAGCCCTTCATTCGTTACCCTTGCCGCTGGTTCTCCATACCTGCAATGAAGAAATCACCTTCAGTAACATGCTCTCCCCGGTGAACAATCATATATCAAAGAAAAATATATTGTTTCAAACATTAGGGCCACGAACTAAGTCCAAGTCTCAGCCAACCATGGAACTTGCTCTAAAAATCAAGCTACAGGCATGCAGCTGCAATAATTGTGCAATTAAGATATGGTTCTCAAGAATGATGCTGTCAATATTCGTGGGATAAGAACTGTATTAAAAAACAGCCATCCACTCAATAGAAATATGAACAATCCACAGAACAGAGCACCACCATCACAAAATTTAATGCCAACTATTGGAAAAGTGGTGTTCATGATGTAAATTGATTATTGTACAAATCATCAAAGGGATAAGGATTGAATTGAAGCACTGATAATTTTCAGTGTTAAATTTAGACTTACCTCTGTGAAACAAGTCCAGTGGTGACAACTGATGTGGTTGACATAACATTCCTTCCCGCCACTTCAACAGCATCACAGACCTTGTCTGTGTTTGCACACAAACAACAAACATTGAGGACAGGAAAAATGCCGCTAGTTCCTAGTTTATACAATTGCAGAAAAAAGGAAAAAAAAACAGGAAAAGAATAAACAGAGATGCCAATGTCCTATATTATCTCATGTTTCTAGTTCTTTTAAGAGCCTACTTCTGTGTTTGAAACTCCTACCCCAACATGCATGATTTCAGCTCCTCCACATCTCAAATATGATCATCTAAAGGAAAGCTGAAAATACTTCCAATTTCTCACCAATACAAGACAACAACTGTGGGAAGTGAATCCCTACCAGAAAATTTGTTCCTGAACAATAATTTCAATAAGAATTCATAATTCTTCTTTTCCTTTCTCTAAAGGTGTATGGCATGAGACCTAAAGCTAGTAGAAGCCTATGGTAGAAAATCTACAGTATCTAAAGTAGCATGATATAAGAATATGTATAATTCAAGTGTTTGAGATAAAAGACTCACTGAATCCATCCAATGAAGCAAGGACGATTTCTCCGGGCAGAAGGCTAAAAAATTTCAGGCCAACTTTAGAGTTAACTATAGAACTTGTGAAGAATCCAGATACTTTAACAACCCCAGAAAGGATTCCAGAGGCCACGTCCTCTGACATCTTTGTCAACTTCTTAACCCTGAAAATTTACACCATAATAGGTTATACACTCTCTTCACTGCATAACAAGTACAAACCCAAAGGAAAAGACATTGGTCTAGTAGTATACTAATATGACAATCCTAAACTAAGAAACTAAAGCCCATGTACCTTAAACATGCTAAAATTGCTAACATAGTGAAAATTTATGGCAGCAAAAGTGATGATTTTGTAGATTAAGGATGAAAATTGAAAAAGTATTCCCCTAACATTTACAATTATACTGGTTCATTATTGGAATATGGGCAGTAAAACGTGAAGCAAGGTGGACTCTTTAATTCAAACAAAAAAATATTTTGGAGGAATTTTTTATTTTTTTTGTTGCCAAGTGGAGATTGGTCATGGCAGTCAAAAGAAAAAACCATATACAAATGTGCAAAAGACCAAATAGGCAGATTTGCTAGCACAAACATAACTAACAAAAGTTTAAAACCATAAACAATGATTTACTCAACAAAAAAACAATTCTGAATAATCAAATAACACACCTTTGTATCCTCTTCAAAGTCTCTGGACTAATCTCTGATTCTGAAGTGGGCCCCATTCTCATCTTCAAGAACTCATTCCCCCACTTCAACCTATCCACAGTCACATCCCCACACCACAAAATCCCCCTAATCACCTGACCCGAACCCGCCGCAATCAACCTCGCGCACTTCCCGCTGTAATCCTCTACATTCGGAGCCAGCGTAGTCCAGTAGGCCGCGGCCCTCTCCTCCTGAGACGTGTCCCTCCCCACCGACCCATCCAGAACCTCCCAATTCCCCAACCCCTCCACCCTCTCCTCCGAAAAACAACTGTAAATCCCCAAAATCTGATCGAGCTCCTTCAGCAAACCCTCTTGCCCCTTCGAAGAAGCAAAAGTTAACCCATAATTCAGCAGAACAAACTGACCTTTCTCATGGGTCGGGTAATCAATTTCGTCTCTTTTCGGCGACCCATTTGCGGGGACCCGAAGAGTGAAGAAGTAGTGGGCCTGGTCGAGCTTCACGGCGGCTTCGTCTTTGGCCAGAGGCCATTGAATCTGGTCGCCTACGCGGGCAAGTACAGCGACTATGTTCCCATTTTGGCGGAGACTAACTATGGTGAGTTCTCCAGTGGCAAGTTCGATGCTTGAGTCTTTCTCTATGAGGTGGACGATAGCCCCTGGGATTTTGACCATAAGTTCTTCGGATGATTGGGTATTTCGGTTAGAAACGGCGTCGTCTTCCGGGAAGAGGTTCTCGGCGAGGTCTTTCATGTCGGCTGAAGGGTACAGAGACGTAGAAGAAGAAGGAGAAATGGGTTTTGAAGCAGACATGGTTTTGGATTGGTTGGTCTCTGAGTTTTGTCAATGTTTGGTTTGGGCGAAGACACAGCGAGAGATTTTGGGGGTTTTATTAAGGTTGGACTAATCTTGGGGCTTAAGAAAATGGAGGAAGCGTGTCAGTGACGACGACGATGCAGAGGCTCGAGACACGCGGCGACACTTGGATTTGCCGCGTAATAACCGTGGAGGTCGATGCTCTGAAGTAACTGCTTGTTAGTTCGGGGTGCCTGATCTCTCGCCACGTGTCAATTTGGGTCTCGCCTATTAAGAAAGAAGTCTACTTTGGATTGAATTGGACGAGACTCCCTCTGCAATGCGTCCGACATCTTGCACTAAAGTTTTATTTTCTCTATACTAGTCGGTTATGTATGTGCTCGTCTCCTTGCACTCCAGGTAAAATATCGAAATATCTATCGATATTTTAAATATCTTATAAAAGAAGAAGCATCAATTAGATGGCATGTAGTAGTAGGAGAACCAGATTAAATGATGTCGGGTAGAATGACGGGAAATAGTAATATGTTCATCTGTTTAGCATCTTCAATATGAATATTTCTTTGTCCCTTAAGCATAATTACTTATTAACTTTTGGTCTATTGGTATTCCTGTTCCAAATGTTGACGGGTCTCATATTCGAATCTTTTTTTTATTAATTACGAAACATAATATAAAATAAAATAAAAACTTATTTCTCCTAAATATCTTTTTACTAGTAGACAATGGGAGGAACATGAGGTAGTTGGGTGTTGCACCGCTCTATATATGACTTGAAGGTGAATGAGGGAGGACTGTTTGGCCATCTTCATAGGTTATAATATATTCCCATGCTCAAAACCTCTGATGCAAGAAGATGCCTGCTTGGTCAGAAAATTGGGGATAAGATTTGATCCAGAGTTTGCCAAAAAGCAGCCCCTGTTTTTTTTTCTTCCAATAGTTATGGCAATCAGATGATCCCCATATAACGCCTCAAATAAGTTCCTCGCTATGGAATTCTACCCTTATGTTATGCCTTCACTCAGGTTGGGTCCAAATCCAATACATATTGTACCTTGGTTTTATGTGCATCAAATGTTCAAAATAATCCAAAGCCTCTTAAAGTCCCATTGCACCACAACCATCAACATCGAGCTCCACAACCATCAACATCAAGCTCCACAACTATATTATTTTTCAATCAATTTCCAGCTGAACCACTCTCACTCTCCTTCAACTTGATCTGATAAACCCTAAAAATGCTCCCTCTATATATATAAAGTGCTAGCAAGTCCCATTTTATCTATTTAAATTCTATTTTACATTTGGAAACAAAAAAATGAGGACCTCAGATGCTCTTGCATCCAACTGGACCTACATTTGGGGTTTAAACATCTTGGCCCTCAAGTTCTTAGAATTGAACTTCTCGAACGTTGCTCTCGTTCTGATTTCTGCCATCTTCTCCTTCATTCTTATATTTGTTGCTCTTCTCATAGAGGTAGCAGCATTGTTGGTGCTCCATAATTCCAATGCCACACTTGTGAGCTTTAAGCTCTGCGATGGACGAATCTGTTGGCATAGTTTTCCTTGCTGTCCGGTTCGTTGTGACCCGTGCTTGAACGAATTTATGTGGTCAATGCTGCATAATTTCTTGCCAAGAAAAATGCCGTCTGTGTTTTGGTGGAGCTGTTATTCTACAACAGCAAAAAAATGGGCAGATCTTACCTAGTTTTTGTGCTTTTGCTATGGTCTCGTTTCCAACTTTCCTGTCTACTCAACTGGATTTAAAGGGTACTAATATGTAATGAAATTTCTACTTTTTGGTCAAGTTAAGTAATTTGTTTTCTTTTTCTTTTTCTCTTTTTAGCTTTTTGTGGGGTTAATTATTTTATTAATAAGATTATGTTGTAAATATAATATTGAGAAAAGTAATAAGACTGAATTCATGATCCACATGATCTAAGATGTTGAACTCGATGATTTATACAATAGCAAAAGGAGGAATTTAACGAGCATAAATTACATATCTTGATATGTGTGTGGAGTCACCAGTAGACAAGTCGTTAGTGTAGATGAAATATGTTTCTCTCTCTAGTTTTTTTTCATGTTAACTTTGCTAACGAGGGTATATGATATGATAGTATTTTAGTTACTGGAACAAAATAGGGTAAAACTAAATATGTACAAACTTTGCTAACGAGGTCTAACTCAGTAAAAAATGAAATTAACTTATAAATTAGTTATATCAAGCTCGAAACTCTACATGTAACAAGTTTGAAACTTTACATGTACGTTTGTAGCTTAGCTTGGCTCGTGAAGGTGGGAACTTGAACTGAATTTCTTCATGGGCCATGGGAAAATTGGGCTGGCTCACCCACTTGACAATACAATCCAATGTGTTGCACCCAGGCCCACCATTTCTACCATCTTCTGCACAAACTGACAATGACAATAGTATTCTAACTTTTTTAATCACTGAAAACTGGCTTTTGTGGTCAGAACTTGGAACTCACTTCAACGATGACTTTGGATGGCATCAAAGTAGATAAATTATGCATGGGAAAAGCGCGACTCAAATCAAAGTCATATTTAATTTTGTGCCCAGAAAAGAAAAAGAAAAAGAAAAAGGAAAAGGAAAGAGTAAATTGCAAGCAGTTTGTGCATACTTTAATTTCGATCTCATCTTAACAACAAATTTCTTCAGTCCACATATCTTAAATTATGCATGGTATGTGCTCGCTTCCTTGCACTTGAGATAAGAAAAAAGTGGATTCCACACCTGTGTGCACTATTTTAGTACTAATTAGTTCTTAAAATAATGCTTCAAAGCGCAAACAACCAAAAAACTTTGAAGACAATTTTGTAAAAGATTACATAAATCATCTTGTTCACTTAAAGCATGCACAACCCACTGATTTGCCTTTAGCAAGTGTAGTAGTGGTGTTACAAATAGTCGCATATATATTTTAATAAAAACATGTAAAAAGAACGGAGAATTGAACACATGAATTTGAGTTAGTCGTGATTTTTTATTTTAAAGGAATTTTTCTATTGAAATGGGCAATAACGTACTAAATTTACACATACTATACAGATACTATGACTCAGGACATTTCCTAAAGAGCAAAACTACAAATTCTTTGTCACGGGTAGGCATATTTAAAAGGACCACGTTCAATTGAAAAAACATCACATCTAGCAGACTAATTGATTGGATTGACTAACAAAAATGCTCAATCCGTGACACTAACTTTAAAGTTTAACCTTTGGGCAAAAAAATAGAAGAAGAAAAAAAACCCTAAAGTTTAACCCAATTATAGTTTATATCATCTCTCCTCAAACGAAATTACATATTATGAAGTGAATTCCTTTTTGTTTTTGTTTCCCTCTGTGTTATTGCTCGTCTCTTTACCAGATGGGTGAATTATGGGGTACAAATCTTTTGTTCATTAGTGTGGTTCCATCATGGGACCCTCCCCGATATTTATTTGCTAGATTTCTAATGTATAGCATAACATGATTAATACAGGGCCGGCAAGCTCCTTCCTGTCACCAACTTGTCACATATAGGACATATATATACAGGTCACAGAAATTAGCCTAGAATTTAGGAAGGATCAATCAAAGGAAATTAGTGTGAAGTCAAAAATCTTCGTGTTCTGAAGTGTTTGTTCTCTTTGTTTTCTTAATTCATCAACCATAAAGAAAGAGTAAGGTTATTTGATTGTGCCAACGAGGTTTGGTTTTGATTTACAGATCAGTTGTCTCAGGTTCAAACGCCATGACAACTTGTATAAGATTATCGCTCGTATAAGATTTAAAAATTGTATAAAAGCGACGGTTGATGGTTCTTTGAATTAATTTATAAATTAATAAGGAAAAGAGACCGTTGATGGTTTAATTTGTTAATTTAAAAGGAACAAAGATTTGGGTAGTTCAATGTGACAAATAAAAGATTTGAGAAGATTAATTTAGTGCTCCCACATTCTTGAGAGCTTCCCCACATGCCATTATAAAACATGAGATGGTTTATAAAATTCATTTATACCAAGTGGGAGTAGGAATATTAACCAAGAAATTCATTCCCTTTTGAATATCTTACCAACACCATTCTATATATTAATATATTATAGTAATTTGATTCCCTCAGAAAAATAAATTATTTTATGCATGATATATTTATATTATACAAAATTCCAAAATTAAATATAAATACATTTTCGTCATGGTTTCCGATTGCATTGACTGATTTTAATTTCAAAGAAAAATTGTTTGGCCATTGACATAAAGTTTATATTATCCAGTAATATATATATATATATATAGACGGCTAACAGTCTACAGATATAAACGAACTTGGAGATTTTATAATTTAAAGGAAAGGAAGAAAAAAAAAAAAAAAAAAAAAGAAAATTTCACACTACACCACACCCTCCAAAACCAGCTCTTGGGCCTATAGGTAAACACACAACTTGTACATCTACCTTTACGAAAGATCAAAACGACGTGTTTTGATCCTCCCTCCGATTTACAAGGGATCCATTTGGGTCACCACAATGGGGCTCCGAACCACATGCTTCCCATCGCTCCAATAGAGCGACCCGAACACAGCACCCGCCTCACCAAACACCACATTCTTCCTATCTACTCCAACCGTCACTATGAAGCTCCGCTTCTTCACGGCCTCGTTAAACACCAACCTCGACGGCTTCACCGCTACGGTCACCCCTCTCGGGGCCTCGATCCTGGGCCGGTACACCGCGTTGGGCTGGCCCACATTTGTCACGGTCCGGATAAACGTCTTACTCGACTTACCCGCGGTTGAAAACAACGCCGCAATCGATGGGTAATTGAGATTCTCCGGCGAGGGCTTCTTGGCCGGGCAATTGAGCGGGGTCCGTGTGATCACCTGGATCACTCGGGGCCCGTACCCGACCGAACATAGAAACCGAACATAATCGTCATTGGTGATATCATAAACAAGCCCGGGATCCATGGCCCGGCCCAGATTCAAATGA